CAGGCAAACAATCAATGTGGTTAGCAACAAATAGTTGGAATTCCACTTCCAACCAAAATGGAGTAATAGGCACCAGATTTACCCACCCAACAAAAACAACCAAAAATTGTACAAAACCTAAGAAACAATGATTTTTTTAAGACACTGTATATCATGTGACAAAAGATGTCTTTTCCTGAGAAAAGAAAAACAAATGAAGTAAACCCAATGATTAACCCAGTTTAGTGATTTGGAAGAATTCACAGGCTGAAGTGCAGAGAAGAGGAACTGAGGCAGAACCAAGAGGAATCACTGAGTTAAGGAGATGTGTATGAGAGTCTGGAAAGAAGACTATGGGTAGAGTTTGCAAGACAGAGTATCAGAGAAGAGATAGCTTCCCACAGACAGAACTTTGGTGATTTACAGGGGGATCACTCTTGAGTATTTAGCAGAGTATTGACCAGTGCATGCAAGTGTGAAAAATCTTAGGCTGGAGAAAGAATCACCCAAAAGGACTATAAGTTATAATGCTTGGTGCTCATAGTGAATTGAGACTAATCCAAGTAACTAGACTGGAAAACCTCATGATTCATGAAGCATCAGAGTACACAGAAGGATTTTACCTCAGAAGTGAAGGATAATCAGTACTAGACAACACTGTTCCAGTCCCACTAATACATTTTAAAAGCAAAACTCAGAATATCTGGCATTTAGTAAAAAATTACCAGGCTTACAAAAAGGCAGAAAACCTGATGTATAATGACAAAAATAATCACACAATCAAAACGGGACTCAGAATAGGTACACTGATTATAATAAGTAAACAATGACATTAGAACTGTTTACACAACTGTCTTTCATATGTTCAAAAGTTAAGTTGAGATAGAAAATACAATAGAAGACCAAATTGAAATTCTAGAAATAAAACTGCAATGTCAGAGATGCAAAATACACTTGATAGGATTAATGGCAGATTAGTCATTGTAGAAGAAACTATTTGCAAATTCAAAGACATAGCAAAAGGAACTATACAAAATAAAACACACATAGAAAAACTAGCTTTAAAAAGTAAAAAAGAGCACCCATGAATTGTGAGCAACAGCAAGCACACTAATCCACATATAATTGAAGTTCATGAAAGGAAAATGGGGGAATAAAGTATACGTGAAAAAAACGATGGCCTCCAAATCCAAATTTTATGAAAAATATAGACCCAGTGATTCAAGAAACTTAGAATACCCCAAACACAAGAAAGATGAAAGTAACTACTGCAAAGCACATTAAAATAAATTTGCAAAATCAGTGGTAAAGAGAAAATCTTAAAAATTAGTGATAACAATGTGTTACCTACAGAGGAACAAAAATAAAGATGACAGCAAATTTCCTGTGGGAAACAATCAAGTGAGAAGACAACAAAGCAACATTTTACTAGAAGTGAAAAAGGTTAATTTATAATTCTATACCCAGTGAAGATATCTTTCAAAAATGAAGGCAAAATAAAAATCTTTCAGATGAAAAGGCTGAGAGAATGTATCACTAGTACACAGGCACTATAAGAAATGTTAAAGGAACTCATTCTGGCAAAAGGTAATACCAGATGGCAATAGAAATCTACATAAAAATGGGCTCCTGGCTGGCTCAGTCAGTAGAGCCTGTGACTCTTGGAGCTCTGAGTTTGAGTGCCACAGTGGTATCATGATACTTTTTTTTTTTTCAAAGAATATTAATCGTTTATTGATTACACATGATAATGGACGATACACAAGCATTATATCCCCATCTATAGTTTTATCCGATACATAAATTCAATTTAGATAAAATGCATAGGATGTGCCACAATCCATCATAACCAAATAAACACCAGACTTTGCTTGGTGACCCTTTTAACGGTGAACTCCAGTCGACAACACATTACTGTCAGTTCAACCACACCAAGGTTTGTGGAACCACTGCTTCTGTGCCGCAATCAGTTAGCAAATAAATTTCGAGTGGAACTGGCATCACCCTGAAGGAATTCTAAACTTCACACAGTTGGGTAGTTTACCAAGATGGCTTCCGAGTAGACTAACTTACACAGCACATTTAAAAAAGACACATTTATACAACTCAAGATCAACTATATACATTTAGCAATCAACAGCATGGTGCAAAAAAAACAATGCTACATAAAAACCCTATGTTGGAATGCTTATTACACTTTCCACAGAACAGAAACTAAAATAACCTGTATACAATTAGTCACAAATACAGTCTCACTCAGAGTTTTTTGCCCAGACACATGAGTATAGTCTACGAAACATGTCTTCTCTGTAGCAGCTAGGCCCTGCACCACTGTGCTTGGCTGGAGTCAACAAATCTTTGTAACCTGTAGCTTCCTGTCACTTCTCTGCTCTCCTCTTCCTGCTAAGCTTTGTTTCCGGCAGTAAATAAAACCTCTGCCACTGCATAGCTGCTGCTTGCTGCTGGAACCGCCAAGCCCCCTGGTTCGTGGTTGGCAAAGATTTGGCCCTCCACCACCATAGGGGCCAGACTTACTGCCTCCAAAATTTCCTCCTATCATGGGACCAAAATTTGTGGAATGAATTGTTGAAATTGCAAAATCGTAAAGCATCGCCCCTCCAAAGTATGCTTCACTACTCAACCTGCCATAGCGCCTGCCGCCTCCTCCTTGTATAGCTGCATAGCTGCCACTCCCCCATACCACTGCCCTGGTTACCATAACCCTGTCGCACCACTTCTCAAGCCTCTGCTTCCTCCATAGTAACCAGGCCGCCTCCTCCCATAACCACCGTCATTACCAAATCCGTTAGAGCCAACCCCACTGCCACCGAAACCACCACCACCTGGACTGCCACCGAATCCACCTCGACCACTGAAGTTCCCTCCACGACCAAAGTTGTCCATTTCCACCAAAACACCTCCACGACCACCACCAAAGTTCCAGAACCACTTCGGCTCTATGGCTGGACCGAAGCACTAGCATCTCTTGCTTCGATAGGCTTTCCCACTTCACAGTTGTGGCCATTCACATATGGTATGTATGAAGGACAAATCTTGTCTACAGGAGTCTTGGTCGACAAAGTCACAAAAGCAAACCTCTCTTTTTGCCACTGCTCGGTCAGCATGATCTCAACACTTCAATTTTCCCATACGGTTTCAAATAATCTCATAGATGATGTTCAATTCTGTTCTTCTTAATGCCACCGACAAAAAATCTTTTCACAGTAAGTGGGCACCGTTCTTTGAAAATCTTCTCCGGAGACAGCCTCTTTGGTTCCGACGACTCTTCCGACCACCTTGGTGCGGCCGCGCGTTCATGGCCGCGTCCACCTCCTCCACGGTGGCGAACGTGACGAACCCGAAGCCTCTGGAGCGCTTGTGTTAGGGGTCTCTCATACCACACGTCCGAAGCGTCCCCCAATGCTCAAATGGCTCCTCAGACTCTCCATCGGTGGTTTCGAAGCTCAAACCTCCGATGATAGCTTCCGCAGCTGCTCGGGTGCTCTTTGGAACTCGTACTTAGACATGACGGCGTGGGAGGGGAGACTTTTTCACGATGCTTACTCGCGTCGTCCAGGGCAGAAAGCTATAGTGATTACTTAAATAAAACTTTAAAAACTGGGAGGATAGCACTCTCAAAGAGAAAAAAAAGAAAGAAATCTGTACAAAGAAATTAAGAGACCTGAAAATTGTAACCATATGGATAAATTTAGATTTATCTTGTCATTTAATGATTTTTAAGCCACAATGGACTGTTCAAAATAATACCAATGTAATTTGGTGTTTATAACCTATGTTAGAGTAAAATGTAGAGAATGATACAGAAGTTGGGAGGCAAGAAATATACAATTGTTAAGTACTTATACTATATGTTAAATGGTATAATATCATTTTAAGGTAAACTGTGATAAGTTAAAGTTGTATACTATAAATTCTAAAGCAACCACTAAATAAGAAATCAAAGAGTTAAGCCAACTCAGAAGAGAAAATGGAATCACAAAAATATTCAATCCAAAAGAAGGCAGAAAAAAGAGGAAAAGGAGAACACAGAGCAGATAGAACAAATAAAAACCAAAGAGCAGGAAGATAAATTTAAACCTAAATGTACCAATAATCATATTAAGTGTAATTAGTCTCAATGTCCCAATTAAAAGGCATAGATACCAGATTTGATTTAAAAAATAAGGTTTGATTATATGCTGCCTACAAGAAAACACTTCAAATATAAATACGCAAGTGGCTTCAAAGGATAGAAAAATATATATCATCCTAAAACTAGTAAGAAGAAAGCTTTAGTGGCAATATGAATATCAGACAAAATAGATTTCAGAACAAAGAATATTGCCATGGATAAAGAACTCCAATTCACAATGATAAAGGATCACTTTGTCAAGTGTACATAAAAATCCAAAATATTTATGCACCTAATAACAGAGTTTCAAAATACATGAAACAAAACTGATAGAATGTCAAGAAAAGCTAGATAAATCCACCAATACAGTAAAAGATTTCAACATCCCCCTCTCAATAATTGATAGAACAAGTAGACAGAATATAGGATATTCTCTAAGGATAGAGAAAATCCTAACAACAATGTGACCAAATTGATGTTTAAATAGAACGTGCCACCCAAAGACAATTTTGTCAAGGGCATATGGAACATTTACCAAGGTAGGCATATGCTGGGTTCACAGTATGTTGTCTGACTGTGATGGAATTAAATTAGAAATTAATAATAGGAAAATCTCTGGAAAATTCCCCAAATATTTGGAAACTAAATAGTCCACTTCTTAAAAAAAAACAAAAAACAACTCATGAGTCAGAAAAAGAAATAAAAAGAGAAATTAAAAGTATTTTAAAACAAATAAAAAATAAAATGCAACTTTTTGTGGGATGTCACTAGACAATATTCAGAAAATATTTATATTTTCTGAATTTATAGCACTAAACATCTATATTAGAAAAGGAGAGAGGTCTCAAATCAATGATCTCAGTTTTAACTTTAAGAAACTGGAAAAAGAGTGCCCACTTCAGCAACACATATACTAAAAGTGGAATGATATACTAAAAGCATGGCCCCTGAGCAGGGATGGCACACAAATTCGTGAAGTGTTCCATATTTTTAGAGTATTATGCTAAGCGAAGTAAGTCAATCAGAGAAAGACAAATACCATGTGACTACACTCATTTGTGGAATTTAAGAAACAGATTAACAAGGAAGAAAAAGAAACAAACCAAGAAACAGACTCTTAATTATAGAAAACAAACTGATGGTTACCAGAGGGGAGGTGAGTGAAGGGGATGGATGAAATTGGTGATGAGGATTAAGAAGGGCACTTGTCATGATGAGCACTGGTGTTGTATATAAGTGTTGAGTCACTAAATTGTACACCTGAAACTAATATTACATGGTACATTAATTAACTGAAATTTAAATAAAAATTGGAAGAAAAAAAGAAACTCAAAAAAGAAAATAATTAGGAAAAGTAAAAATAAAAAAGAAAGTTTGGAGCAGAAATCAATGGATTAGGAAAGATAAAAACAAGAGAAAAAATATAAAACTGTAAATAAGTTCTTGGACAAAATGAATGACATTGATAGAACTCTTGCTAGACTAATCAGCAGAGAGAGAGAGAGAAAGAACACAAATCACCAACATCAGGAATGAGAGACAACCTCACTACAGATTCCATGGATATAAAAAGGATAAAAATGGTGTACTGTAAATCACTTTATGCCAGTCAATTTGATAACAGATGAAATGGATAAATTCTTTGGAAGACATGAACTACCAAAGCTCTCTCAAGAAGAAAAAGATAATCTTAATAGTTACTAATCTATTTTTTAAATTAAATATGTAGTGGGGTGTGGCTCAGTGGTTTAGTTTGTTGAGTGTCTGGCTCTTGATTTCAGCTCAAGTCATGATCTCAGAGTTGTGAGATAGAGCCCTGTGTTGGATTCCATGCTCAGTGTGGAGTCTGCTTGAGATTCTCTCTCTCCCTTGGCCTCTGCCCGTTCCCAATTCTCTCTTTCTCTCAAAATAAATAAGTAAAGAAATAAAAAGTTTAAAACCTTCTCACAAAGAAATCCTCAGGCCTAGGTGGCTTCACTGGAGAATTCTAACATGTTCCAGAGAAATAACCTCAATTCTTCACAAACTCTTCTGTAAAATAGAGGACCGTAAACAAGCACATGAGAAGATACTCAACTTCATCAGTCATTAGGGAAATACAATTTAAAACTGCAGTGAGATACTACTACATACTTATTTGATGGCTCAAATTGAAAAGATAAACCATACCAAGTGTTGACAAGAATTTAAAAGGAACTAGAATACTCATACACTTCTGGTGAGAACGTAAAATGGTACAATCACATTGGAAAACACTTTGGCAGTTTCTTAAAATGTGAAACATACATCTGTGATATATGACCCAGCCATTCCACCCTAAGTAATCACCCAAGAGAAAAACAAAAGTACACATCCATACACATACTTGTACAGGTAGTCCACAGCAACTGTTTAAGACATAGCCCTTAACTGTAAATAACCCAAATATCCATCAGCTGGCAAGGGAGTAAATAAATCCTGATGTAGTTACTCAATGGGATACTACTCAGAAATAAAATGAAATGACCTACTGATGCACAATGTGACATAAATGTCAAAATAATTATGCTGCATAAAAAGGCTGGACCAAAAAAGAGTATATATATATATTATATATATATATAATATATAGTATGACTCATTTATATAGAATTCTAGAAAATGCAACTTAATCTATAATGATAGATAATAGATCAGAAGTTTCCCAGGGAAGTGAAGTTACAGCTCAGAGGGCAATGGGGAGCTCTTCCAAAGTGACACAAAAGACCTTTTTTAAAAAAATATTTATTTATTTATTCAGAGAGAGAGAGAGAGGCAGAGACACAGGCAGAGGGAGAAGCAGGCTCCATGCAGGGAGCCCGACGTGGGACTCGATCCCAGGTCTCCAGGGTCACATCCCGGGCTGCAGGCGGCACTAAACCACTGCACCACCGGGGCCGCCCACAAAAGACCTTTTGAGAGTGATGGAGATGTTTATTATTTCATTGTGGTGTGGTCTCAAGCATATCTATATATGTCAAAAATTGTAAATAGCATTCTTTTAAAAAGTGCAGTTTATTGCATGTCAATTATATTTTTAATAAAGCTGTTTAAAAAAAAAGTAATTGTTCTGGGGGCACCTGACTAGCTCAGCTGGTAGAGCATGTGACTTTTGATCTCAGGGTTGCGAGTTCAAGCCCCACACTGGGTATGGAGCCAACTTAAAAATTTTTTTAAAAATTAAGTATTGTTTTATTTGCGGTTACTTAGCTTTTCGTAGCACTGGCAGCACGCTGGCTTTACATTCACTTTGTTGTCCCTTTTCAAAGTGTCTTCTCCACATATTATGACGTTCTACCAATCGTATTTAGAATGCTACTTAAGATTTCTCCCACATAGTATCATGTTTTAAAATGTCATGTTTAAATGTGAAAACAGTTTTAAATACAATTTTTACTATAGAAATATAAATTCAAAATGATCTTGTGCAAGGTACCTACATTTGTAACTGGAGTTCAGCAGAAGTCAGTGCCTGAGGCTCCTGAAGCTCAGGTGCTTGTATTTTATCAGAGATCCTATTCCAGGAAGCAGGAGAGGAACAGACAGGGGGACCACTACTGTAGAACAAACATAAAATTGTGTTGTTGAGCCCACTGTGGTTAGTGCGACTGAATGCTAGATTTGTGGCACTCGACCCCCAAGAAAATATTGCCATAAAAAGCACTCAAGGACTCCGCTGAGGACAGTGTGTGGATAAAGAGGAAGAGATTTATCCACTGGTTCCTGGATCCCATTGGCCAAAGGTTTACTCCCTGGGATGCTAACCAGCCTACACTTCTGCTTTAAGCAGGCCAGGGTGAAGGAGTCAGGCAGCGTACCAAGGAGACAAGCATCAGGTACGATCAGGAAGGGAGGCACTTCGATTGGGAGGTAGGAGAAAGCTCTCATCACACCGCCTGTCACCACAACAGCTGAAAAGGAAACAAAACAAATGAAACAGAGGGCAAGAGGATCGGAAATGACTGACACATCTGTGCTCTATGGTTTTGAAGAACTGGGGTGAGTCTGAACTAGTTTTTTATTCTGTGTCCTAGATGATATGGGTAACCTAAGGTTCATCCTACTTGACATAATGTGACCTACTGCCTTGTTTCACGGGAGTATGCTTTTTCATTTTTTATTTTTTTAAGATTTTATTTATTTATTTGAGTGAAAGAGTGCAAACATGACAGCACAAGCAGGGGAAGGGGCAGGAGGCGAGGGAGAAGCAGACTCCCCTGGCTGAGCAGGGAGCCCGACATGGGGCTCCACCCCAGGATCCTGAGATCATGACCTGAGCCAAAGGCAGCCACTTAACCAAATGGGTCACCCAGGCACCTGTGAGTATGCTCTTTTAGTCAGTCTTGCAGCACTCGGCCCTGCTCTACACTACATTTACCTCAACCATTTTTATTTTTTATTTTTTGTATTGTTGGCTTAAACAACAGATATTTATTTTCTCACAGTTAATGGCTACAAGTTCAAGATCAAAGTGCCGTTAGCTTGAGCACTAACTTCTGGGCTTCCCCTCCTACCAGTTAGAACACCACACCTGGGATCAGCCTGGAATCAGTATTTTAAAGTTTCTAAGTGATTCTAATGCGTTGCCACAGTAGAATCACTTCTCTCTCCAGGCTGTCCCTTCTATGTTCCATACTGGTTACCAACTCCAACTAGTTTTCAGGCTTTCACTGTGTAATGAAATGTTCTCTCTTCATGTCTAAATACTATCCACTATTTGATGTACATTTCAACTCCTACCTCACCGACATCTCTTTCCCTAACCAGTTTACCCTTCGGGATCTTTCTTTCTCCATCATCTTTAATAGCAAAACAACCTCCACACCTCTCAATCTATAGTGAAACTTTTTTAAAAAATGTCTTTTCATGGGTACCTGGGTGGCACAGTTGGTTAAGCATCTGCCTTCAGCTGGGGTCATGATCCCAGGGTCCTGCGATGGAGCCCTGTATTGGGCTCCCTGTTCAGTGGGCCAGTCTGCTTCTCCCTCTCCCTCTTCCCCCTGCCACTCTTGCTCTCTCTCTCAAATAAATAAATAAAATCTTGGGCAGCCTGGGTGGCTCAGCGGTTTAGCACGGCCTTCAGCCCAGGGCTTGATCCTGGAGACCCAGGATCGAGTCCCACGTCAGGCTCACTGCATGGAGCCTGCTTCTCCCTCTGCCTGTGTCTCTGCCTCTCTCTCTCCCCGTGTCTCTCATAAATAAATAAATAAATAAATAAATAAATAAATAAATAAATAAAATCTTTAAAAAATTCTTTCCATATTTAATTGCCTTTCTCTTTCCACCCACCTTTGAGCTCCTGGGTTTTAATTTATACATGTTCTTAAAGTAAAGGGATTCTCCTCCTGAAAATTCCATTTGTTCTATTTATTTTGAAAAAATATCAGCATGCTGAACAGATTTTAGGGTGAGGTCCATTAATCTCCATCTTCTTGTGTTCATGTCCTTATATAATCCTATCCCTTGGAATGTGTGTGAAATCTGTGACATGCTTCTGATCAATAAATTATGGCAAAGGTGAGAGATGTCATCCCAATGATTATGTTACATTATGTAAGAGTCTATCTTGCTAGCTGTCTCTCTCTCACTGGCTCTGAAGAAGCAAGCTTCCATGAATCCTATAGGCCCAAGAAAATGAATTCTTCCAGTAACCTGAGGGAGCTAGGAGTCAAATTCTTCCCCACTCAAGCCTCTGACTCCTGGCTGATTCTTTGATTTCAATCTTGTGAGACCCTGAACAGAGGACCGAACTAAGCAATACTATAACTTCCGACCTAAAGAAACTGAGATAACAAATGAATCTTGTTTTAAGCTGCTAATTTCATGGTAATTCGTTATGCAGTGATAGAAAACTAACAGATATTTTGGTACAAGAAGTAGGATGTTGGGTAGCAAATACCTAGAAATGCGGGAGTGGCTTTGCAACTTAGCCGTAGATAGACTCCGGAAGAATCTGGAGGAACATTATAGAGAA